CTACATTTATTTAAACGAGTTCGCGAACCAGCATGATCGGACAATGGGAACGGGGGTTTATGGGGGGTTTTATGGGGTAAAAATAGGTTTTTCCCATTTTTGACCATAAAAACACAAAATTTTACAATTTATTTCCAAACCATTTTGTAGAGCTTAAAAAAACAAATAATTTAGTATATTGAAGCGTTATTGTGCGCCAAATGGTTACAGAGAAAATTCAAAAAAATTGTAAATTTAAAATCCCTATGTTATTCTTATGGAGAATAAGTCAACTGGTAGTTTACTTGTTTATGAACATATTTTGATCGAATTTGGAAAATACATTCATTTCTTACTAAACTATTAACATAAAAAACCACCTTTTTACCCTCCCTGTTGCAGCAAACCTAAGTACTCATTAAACTAATTCTATTTAAATAGGGAATAAATATGATATTTTTAAGGAGGCATTTTAATGTGAAATCCTATCAGGCTAATGGAAATTCGCTTAGTCTTCAGGTTTGCTGCGGCGGGGGTATTTATCATAATCAACCAAAAGACCAAAGCTACCTTAGTAAGCCAATATTTATTCACAAACAGGTTTGCTTTCTTTAGGAGAGTTAAACCTCTGAAGTAGTTCAAATTATTTATTGAATATAATATCAACAAAAGCAAACAAAGACAAACAACCAACTACCTATTTTTTACACAAAAGATATGTTGTACTGGGATATCCATCCTGACACATGAATAATTTGATTCTGAGTTTGTTTAAATATTACAACAATGTGTTTTACATTTGTGCTTTTTAGGGACTTGTGTCATGTCCCTACAAGCCACTAGTCTATATATTAATTACGTAAGCCGATTCTTTGCGTCAAAATTGTGGGCCACTGGGAAGTCGTAGACTGAAATTAAAGATCTTGATCCCGTGATGGCAGGTTAAATAGTGAAATTCCCCAAATTTTAGCACAGAATTAGATATAACGTAAATTTCTTTCCATAAGAATAGCATTAGAAGCCATTTACAGCTGACTTTACTTCAATACAGCTGATTGTGATCTATCACTAAGCCAGTAAACAATATAACATTTGGATTACTCATTTGCTAGTCAGTACTGCAATGTACTGAATACTATATAAAACCAGAGATAACGTAACCTACAATTAGGACTTTTTCGTTACCTATGTCTTAGAATGTTGAAATTAATTTTACTGTGCAGTCTGCAAATTTGTGTATTTTTATGTAAATTATCCAAGCGCATGATAAGTAGTAATTTGAATCATTTGAGATTGCTAAAATCAAAGGAAATGGATTTAGAATGGCTGAAACATATCAATTTTGGGTTTATTTTAAAACGTATGTTCATGAAGTTTACAAAATTATTTTACTTTGATTACGTTTCTTCACTTTTGGAGGTTATTGACGTGCTGAAGGAATGTAAACATGTGGAACATAAAATAGCCCCATTGACTAAATAATCAACGATGCAAGATTAGTTCTGAAATATTAGTTCTGCAAGATGGCGGAAAACTTCTGTTTGGTTTTTATTTCAAAACATATGTTGAAGATTTATTTAATTAATTTGACACATAATTGTAGTGTTAACTCTATATTTTGTATGAAGTGGAATAACAGCTACTCTAGAGAATAACCTGGGAATAAAATATGAAATAGGTTCGTACAAGCAATACTTATTTTTCTTTTAGCGAATTTCCCTATAGGGAAGTAGCTATTACCGTAGGTCTCATGGTAAGACCTAAGCCCGGGACCGATTTACTTTTTCATTTTGATGTCCCCAGAGGCCAAAAACACCATTCGTTCAAATTTTTATATATCTATATATAGAGATATATATATATATATATATATATGTGTCCATCCGCACGATAACTTGAGTAATTTTTGTCCGATTTTGATAAAATTTGGTTTAAAGGTGTAAGGCGGGATAAACTTGAATGAGTTCGCGAACCAGCATGATCGGACTGTGGGAACGGGGGTTTATGGGGGGTTTTATGGGGTAAAAATAGGTTTTTCCCATTTTTGACCCTAAAAACAAAAAATTTCACAATTTATTTTTAAACCATTTTGTAGAGCTTAAAAAAACAAATAATTTAGTATATTGAAGCATTATTATGCGCCTGATTGTTACGGAGAAAATTCAAAAAAATTGTAATTTTAAAATTCCCATGTTATTCTTAAGGAGAATAAGTCAACTGTTGTAGTTTGCTTGTTTATGAACATATTTTGATCAAATTTGGAAAATACATTAATTTCTTACTAAACCACAGTACCTTTTAATATTTTACATTAAAAAAAACTTTTTTACCCTCCCTGTTGCAGCAAACCTAAGTACTCATTAAACTTATTCTGTTTAAATAGGGAATAAATGTGATATTTTTAGGGGACATTTTAGTTTAAATCCAATCAGGCAGATGGAAATTCGCTAATTCTGCAGGTTTGCTGCGACGGGGGTATTATTAATTACTATGACTATGACAAATTCCAATGGGCGGAAAAATAACATTGTTTGAAGGAGATTTGAACAAGGTACCTACTGCCTGTTGCTCCAAGGAAAAAAATTAAAATAATATAGCCTAATAGGCATAGTATAGATAGTAAAGGGAGCATCCATAACAGTAAACTTAGATTTAGTTTCCGTTTCTTTACTGGAATTTTGGTGGTGACGGACCTTTTTGCCAGGTGGGTCGAAGTATTTGCAATTCCTGAAGCTACATTTGGAAGAATCCTACAGATCCCACGAACAGAGGTCTTTAGTCGTTATGGTTATCCACGATGTCTTCTCACAGATAATGGCAGTCCGTTCACATCAAAACAATGGTTGCGGACTTTAACTGAGTGGGCTATTGAATACTGGACAACGCCAATCTAACATCCTCAGGCAAATCCTACTGAACGGAGAAATCAGGAGCTTAAGAAGCTGTTCAGCTGAGCATGAGTCTCTCCTTGCCATCAGACAGCGAGTGAATCGCGTCACAGGCTTCTTCCCAGCAGAACTTTTTCTTGGTCGGGAAATAAAAAGAACTGGTGATTGGAATAGTTAATAATTAACCAATGCATGAATAGTCTCCTGAAACTATGAATTTGACTGCATGGCATGAAGAAAACGTGAAACAAATCAAACATATGAATCGACAAGCCGAAGAGAGATCGAAGAGAGAAGCAGAGAGAAACGATGTACCTGAAGAGCAGGACCTGAAACCGGGTACGCTGGTTCTTCGGCGAAACCATCCCTTGAGTAGTAAGCTTAAAAATGTGCATGCGGGGATGGCACGGAAATGGCTTGGACCTTTTTGGTGGACCACAAGCTAGGGAAGGGAGTGTACCTCTTGAGGTCTGATCAACCAATTAAGGTACACATGTCGGAGTTGAAAATACTCCCGCAAACTCTTCGTGAAGCAACTCAAGCCAAAGATGATGTGCAAGAATCAGAAGACCATAACGATGCCTCCCCTGGGTATAACTTAAGGTCTAGAAAGAGGTGTCCCTTGAAGGGGGTTTACATTTAAAATTTTTGAGTGTCCCCCAAAAGGGGGGATTCGGGGGACAAATAAATGTTTCAATAGAAACCCCCTTCAAGGGACACCTCATTTTGAAGTGTTTATAAAAACTTAAAGAATGGTGAAAACCAGAGCTCGCTATCTCTTCTCTATCCAAAATGGCAGCCAATATTAACAATTTTACCGTTGATTTTCCACAACATTTGACGGGCTACCATTTTGGATAGAGAAGAGATAGCGACCTCTAGTTTTCACTATTCTTTAAGTTTTTGTAAACTCTTCAAAATGAGGTGTCACTTGAAGGGGGTTTACATTTAAAATATTTGAGTTGCCCCCCAAATCCCCCCTTTTGGGGGGGCACTCAAAAATTTCAAAATGATAAAATGAAACTTCCTGCTAAGATTGCTTGACCGCCAAAAGTATATCTCTGTATATTTACTTGGAAAAATATTAGAGGGGGGGGTCTTGACTTTTTATTCACCCTGTATAATAGTAAAGGAATTATCCAAATATAACAGTAAAACCTAGAGGTAGTTTTCGTTTCTTTACTTAAACAAACTAAAAATATGGGCATGTCAAAGCTGATGAAAAGCAATATCGTGATTGGTGATGACAAACCCTAACCAGTCGCAAAAGAGTTAGGAATCAGTCGATGATTAGGCCTATTTTGATAGAATATGTAAAGTCAATCGCACCTTTAAGAGGAATACCACCACATAAACTTACACTAATTGTAGTTTTTTATGTGGATAAAAAAAATCTAGGGTTAAGTTGTGTCAATGGGATAATGTAATGTGCCTTTACTTTACACTAATTTTGTTAAACCTTTACAAAAGGAGCATAAACTTAGAAATATTAACTGGGAAGGGATGCTAATTTAGCGGTTTTGACCAAAAACTAAGCTTACCTCAACACACTTTTATTTGCCTTGAAGAGAATTTCCAAAATTCCAATCAGGGAAGCCTTTTTTTATCACCATTAACCACAAGACCAAAGCTACCTTGGTAATCCAGTATTTATTCACAAACATTCTGAGTTTGTTAAATATTAGAATAATTTGTTTTACATTAGAGATTTTTAGGGACTTATGTCCTTACAAGCCACTAGTATTTTTGTATTTTTGTCTAGTTGTCATAAATGTTTGTGCAAAGTTTCAATTTTGTATCTTTAACCATTTTTTAGAAAAAAATTAATATAAAAAACAAAATGGGGGCTGTGTGAGTAACTAAGGACTTACGGACAATTATTTAAATATAATATTTAGACATATTTCTTACTCAGGAACAATGCCCTAAAATATTGGTAGAGAGTTCCGGGACACCCTGTATAAAACTATATTCATATTTTGTACAACAATATTTCTGGATAAAAGAAATCATAGGAAAATGAAAATATACGTAATTGAAACTAGACTACTCTCAAATATTTTTTCAAACATTGACTACTTATTATATTGTTATTTATAAATTAAGTTAAAATTAGAAGAAAGAATAACTTACCTTAAGAGTAATAAAAAAATCCTTCCCTTGTAGAGCCATGTCAGGCCCTTTAATAGGTTTAGGAGGCAGCTCAATACTGTCCTCGGATAGAATGTGTATGCCACATTTACGTGCATTAGCTCGAATATGCCATGGCTCAATTGTCCATTCGTTGTTCTGGTTCATCATTACCAAAATCTTCCCTCTTTGTAAACATTTAATGGACTGAAAATCATTGACATATTTTTAGTTTTGGCTATCCTAAAATAAAATTGCATTATTAATGTGTACCAATGTCACAAGATCAATTTTTTCTAGCAGTAAAATATTTATCAAAAGACCAAATAGGAGAAATACAGTATTTTTTTTAGATTGGTTGCATTGGTTATGATTGGATGAGTACTTGATCATTGGGTAATTATAACACCAGACTTCTTCACTTAGCAACTCTAAAATAAAAAAAATGTGGAGTGTTGAGTAACAAACATTGATTGGAAATAGAGGTGTGCAAGCTTGGTTTTTAACCGATTTAACATCCAAGTAGTGGTTTAGCTTTTACATACCAATATACTGACATTGGTAGCTGATAGATTTTCACCGGAAATCGCTGCAAAACCCCGTCTTATTGCACATCTACACCATATAGGGAACCCTATACCAAATTTGACAACTTTAGGTCGTATATGTTTTGACTGTTTTGAGATATAGTGATTATCTGTCAGTGAGTCGTATTTGCCGTTTATTTAATTTTATGAGTTACCTAATGGTTATATTGTTTCCAATATGTTTGGTTTTCAAACACGGGAACATTAAGCTATGCCTCTGTTCTGAAACATCACATTTCAGTACCAGTAGCCTTTGGCTAGCAGGTGAAAGAGCTGTTTAGTTTATTTATTTATTAATGTCAACGGATACACCATTTACAAAATGATATTGTTTAGGAACAAGAGCAGAAAGAAATTATAACGAAAGAAGTTCATCAAGCATTGACCAAAACAGCATTGCAATAAAAAATAACAAGAAAATTGAATTGAGACAAAAATAACAATCAACGTAATTTAACAAGTACAGATAATAACAACAACAATATTTTTTTCAAGATTTATCTAACAATAACTATAGATAACAAAACGTTCTCGTGATACAGTAACATCAATAAATCTATGAAGCAAAAACAAGAATAAACTCGATTTTAGGGACAAACAAAAATAAAAATAAAACTGTATGAAGCTATAAAACAGGAATGATGAAGATAAGGCCAGAGACTCCTTCTAATGGATGATAATTGTTTGTTGAAGAAGTCAACTCGTAGTCCGACTTTGTTTCCAAGACGCTGCAATCTGGCAAATCCACCAGTAAACAAAGGTATCTGAAGATCGTGTTCCTCTTGGTATAAGGAAATTAAGAATATCACCACCAATTCTGTAGTCGAAAGTGCTACATGCTACAAGTCTTGTGAATGAGACAACATGACACTTAAATACATTAAGTACCATTGCATTTTTATTGCACCAGGTCTCGACGTTAGAGAGAGAGAGTTGGAGATGTTCATGGTCTAAGGATGAGAAGATCCAGGTAAATATCTTGAGGTCATCAGCAAATATCAAGCAATCAGTGGCCAGTACACCAATTGTGTCATTTATAAATGTACTAGCTGTAACCCGCGGGCTTTGCCCCGTTTTTCAAGATGATCTCGTTCGCATGGCTCAATAACGTCCTGGTTGAAGTTCGTTCGCTACGCTCACTCACCTTTAGGGTGGAGCTCGTTCGCTACGCTCACTCACCTTTAGGTTGGAGCTCGTTCGCTGCGCTCACTTGCCTTCAGGTTAGCTCGTTCGCTACGCTAACTCGCCTCCAGGTTGAAGTTCGTTTGCTACGCTTACTCACCTTTTGGTTGCAAATTAGCTGTTGTCATAAATGTAAAAGAAATAATAGTGCTGAACCCTGTTGGTAATCCTTGTAACTTTAATGCTATTGAACATCATAGAACAGAACCAACTTGTTTAATTGAAACAGCTGTTAAGATTCATCAATTCCATTTCTCATAAGGTTAACTCCAGAAACTCGGGAAACTCCAGAGCCATTGGGGCGGAGCCCAGAGGTCGGAGGGTAAAATCCTTTCTTAGTGAGCGTCTACTACCCAAAAGGAAGATGCCTGCCAAGTTTCAGGTTCCTAGGTCTTATGGTTTCTGAGATTTCGTGATGAGTGGGTGAATGAATAAGTCAGTGGTATTTGAGCTTTATATATATAGATTAAAAAGTAGTGGACCGAGCTGAGAGCTCTGAGGAGTAACGGAGGGAACATTGAAGAGCGAGGAGAAGGCTCCACTACATTTGACTATCAAGTAGCGATCTTCCAGGTAGCTTTCCAGCCATTTGACCAATAGACCACTAATTCCATAAACAGCAAGTTTGGCAATTAACAAACCATGATGAACCTTATCAAAGGTTTTGGAGAAATCCAAGTATATGCAGTCAACCTGACATGAACTAGTGAATGCCGATGTGACATATTCTTGAAATGACAGTAGGTTAGTTATAATGGAGCGGCCTCTAAGAAAACCATGCTGATTACAAGTATGCTTATTTCAAATAAGCATAGTGATGGTCCAAAAAGATTGATAAACGTTAGCCAGGGCCAATTGGATCACAATCCTACTAATCCTACTAATTTTATAAATGAGAAAGTTTGGATGTATGGATGTATGTATGTTTGTGACAAGTAAACGTGAAAAATACTGGTCGGATTGGGCTGAAATTTGGCATGATGATAGCTCACATTCCCGATTAACATATAGGCATATTCTTATTTCAAAAATCCTTTCGGGCTCCGCTCCAGTGGCTCTGCAGTTCCCCATGTTAAGCTTATGAATATCTATACTTATTTAATACCGGTACGCAAGCAGGATTTTTGTGACAATTACTCCTCCGAAACTACTGAACCGATTGACATGTTTTTGGTGTCATTGGAAAGAGCGTAACGTGAAGTTGTGCAGGAAACTTTCTTTTTAGGGAAATAATTAGAGAGTGAGGCCCTGGCGCCCTTTAAAGTTTCGTATTTCTCCATAAGATTAACATGGGAAACAAAAATTGTTATGAAATTCCAGCTGTTGTTAGAAATCAAAAGTGAGAAGAAGAGCATGTTAATTGTAAACAGTCAATACGTTTGCTAATTTAACAGTTTGCTACAAATATTTGTTGACTTGGTTGAAATTCGTTTTAAATTAACGCCTGTAATACTTATCAATTGCTCGAATTCGAGCAACAGGGACACTAGTTCATATTTAAAGGGAATTAAAGAATTTAGCCAGCTGTTTCAACTAAAAGAGTTGGTTCTATGATATGCAAAATCATTAAAAAGTTATAAGATTTACCAACAGGGTGCAGCATTATTATCTTTTTAATTATTTATGAAACAGCTAATTTGAACTAAGCAGCAACAAAAAAAAACTGTGATACGCAATGAAAACTGTAAAAGTAGGATTGTTTTACAGTTATGTTTATTTTTTTAATTTCACAAATAAGTTATAACAACAATTTTGCGAATTTTTAATAATCTTTTTCTCTATTGTGTAGGTGAAGTGGTAGAACATAATGGCTATGGTAGATGTGTAATACTATAGCATACCGTAAATTTAAGGAAGCAAATTTTCTCAAACCGTGTCTTCTCACATTGCAAGCCCAAAGATCGAGTATAACTGCAATAAGCATTTTATACTTATATGCCAACCCCGTACGAAGGACGGGTACTCTGCTAGTAGGTCTATAATTCAAAATACTACTTCGGATGGAAATGGTTTAAATCCAATACAATAGGAAAGTCTGGCTCTAACTTCATAATGATAGTATCCTCTAGTCGGGCTGTTCTGTGGTAGATTTTGATTGGGGGAAAGCAATGATTCACACCACAGAACAGCCCTATATGATACCTATGTCATAGGTTTCTTCCCATAAGTCTGATAAGAGATAAGGAACTTTTACATGATATCTGTCTGGCTGCATGGTTGTGAATTTTCCACAATTACTTGATAAGTAATAAGATTAAACCAAGTGCAGGTATGTTATACCTTAGACCATTTGATAAAGCATACAAATTGTCAAAAACTTTGAAAAAAAAACCATTAAAAATGACATTTTTGGAGTAAACAAAAATGTCAAATTTTGAAATTTAAAAGTGTCATAACTGTTGAACGGCTCAACCCATAGGTATGGGATTAACTGCAGGGTGTATATAATTCAAATATCTACAATATCTGACAAAAAAAAAAACAATAGGCTATGTCATCATAATGGTTGTATGGTTGACAGTTCTATGGTCAGAGGCCTGGCGGCACTGTGGGTGGTCTTTAGCTCTACTCTTTATAAAACTCAATTTTTGAGTAAACTATAGGTTTTTATGATTTTTTTTTTGTTTATTACCTTGCTCCAACTAGTACCCTGTTGATCTATGAGGTTTTAGACATTCTAAAGTGATTAATTTGAAAGATATTAATAAATAATGTATGGTTTGCATGAGGAAAAGGAATGAACTTCTTGTAAATCTGACTATGTTTTTTTAATTTTTAACCAAACTATTGACTTTTTATCCTCTAAATCGGTTCTATACCATTGAGTATATAGTTCTCTAGTGTAATAAAGCATTTTCAAGCGTTCAAAATATACAACTTTTAAGAAAATAAACAAATAAAGTAAGATTGCAGCAAAAATGATTTTGACTATTTTGTTAACGTAATGCTTTTAACCCATCAAATGAGTATTTTTGGTATATATTATAGTTTTATTCTATTTATACACTCTTTGTGCAATTGAAAAACCCTTAATCCTATTCAAAGTTATTATATTTAAGCTTTTTTGGCCATTTTATAGTTGAAATCAAAAATTTCTTTTACGCAAAATCAATTCTTACGTAATGTTTTTAACCCTTTAAATGAGTGTTTTTTGTATATCTTATAGTTGTTTTCATTTTATATACTCTTTTTGCAATTTAAAACCCTATAATTGTATTCAAAATCATATTATTTAAGCCAATTTTAAGCATTTCAAAGTTTAAGACGGGAAATCTGTTAGACCAAATTAATTATTTTACGTAATGTTTTTGACGCATTAAATGTATGTTTTTGACATAATCTATAATCATATTAGTTTTTTAGCCTCTTTGTGCTATTATAAAAGCTATACTTTCATTTAAAATCATAGTACTTAAGCCAATATTTGGTATTTCTATG